GCCACTTGAGTAACATGCCCAAACATGGCTGGCTGTTGTTGTTGTTGTTAATTGTGTTCGTGTGGTTTCATAATGCCGGCGCATTACTCGCATTATGACAATCGCATGGCATGAGGCACCGATTCCCTGGCCATCTTCTCATGCCCTGGCATGCCATGTGCTTGATCTAGCATGGATGAGACTCATTAAAATGCCAGACCAGGCCAGCTGACATATTGAGTTGAAGGCATTGTTTAGTTAACTTTGGGCTTATTCAGCAGTAAAGGAGAGAGGGTTGATTGTAAAGTTATGAAAAAAAATATTAGTTTGCATTGGGGAAGTTAAATATTTTTTTTATCTTATATTTCAAATACATTTAAGTGATATGCTATATTAATATAGCTTTATAGAAAGATTTTGTTCTTTATTGTATTGATTTTTGGAGCAATTGATATTTTGAGCAAGGTCAGCAATTGCAGTCTCCATTATGCCGCTAGAATATAATGCAGAGAGTATATGTAGTATATATATTTATATAGTATATATATATAGTATATATATGTAGTATATTCTTAAACCTTAAATCTCTAAGATAATATCTTACAAGCAAATATCTTTATATATAGATTTCATCTTAACTTTTCATCCTCGTTCTGTTTTCCTTTTTATTACTTGTTCTTTTAAATAGCCTCGGATATTGAACACTTCCAGTTGTTATTGCCCAAGTTATGTGTATTTATTATGCAATCAGAGACATGCTCGCAATACTGTGGAACTCATGTAATTTACAAATCCCTTCCTGCTTCCTTTCTCACTCAATAGACACTCTACAGCTGTTTGCACTGTCAACAGGGAGATAAGTAGAAGATGAGATCGTGCAGCAGTTTCAGTTGATTAGTAAATTGAATCGTTTGCCCATCGTAAATTTGACATCATCCACTGGGCGTAGTTTTCTCTCTTCACATATATTCTTCTCTGTTCTGCCCGGCGCAAGTTCAAGTTTGTTTCTGACTCATGTCAAAGTCACAAAGGGGCAACAGCAGCAGCTGTTTCTCTAAATGAGTCTGTGGTCAGTAGCCGCCGAGTTGGCTGCCCCGAGTCTCGGATAACATCTAATAAATAGCAAATGCGTCCCATAAACGAGCAGCTTGTGCTATAATTAAATCATATATTGAGTTCTCTACTCTCTGGGCTCTGCAGCATGTGTTATTGATCAATAGCATATGGCTACACCTAAAACTATAGACTGCCTGCAATACAATATATCGTGAGAGCTTAGAGAGCTCTATAAAGCTAATCAAATGTATAAACGTATCTAATTGATAGATATCCATTGCACAGACATTTTCCCATAATTTGAATAAATTTAAATGGAACTCAATTTCATAGCAAATTCAATTAAAAATGCTTTGGCAACAATTTTGCCATTATATTACTCAAGCTTCAATCAGTCATCAATTAAAAACTTATTTACATATTTTTAGATTTTATTTTATGAAAGTACATTAAAATTTGATGAAGAACATTTTATAGTAAGACAATTGTGAATACATTTTTAAATTGCACAAAATAGAATTCGATAAAATACCGATTATAATTTAAATTTAAATAGTTTAAATTCTTAGTCAAAATAATTTTGGGTTTCTATAAACAATTTTTTTAACTCTTTGAGCATTTTGTGGAAATTACTTTACTTGAATATTTAAGAAGAATTGAAAAGAATGCCAATACCATCTTCTCTGAGGATAAATGATATATTTCTGTGGCTACATTTGATTTTCAGCAAGACTTATAAAGATAATATAAACTCAAACTTGGGCAATAGTTTGCTGCTGTTAACAGAAAATTGCTGTATGCTTTTCCTTTAGTTAGTAACAAGTTATTTAATTAAGCTTTGCACACGTTAATTACATTGTTCTCACAGAGCTTCTCGCTTTGTGTGTTTCCGTTCAAATAAAAGTTCACACAGTTCTTTATTTGTGCATATCAGGTGCTGATGATATTCATATTGTTGTTGCCGTTGTGTAGACAATAGAAAAATGTTCATGGGAAATACATTTACAATTATAGAGCCGACAACTTTTGCATGAAAAGTGCATTGCCAATCAGCGAATCGGAGAAGCGCAAACAGCAAACAACAGCAACAACAACTGCAGCAAATATCGTCACACATTTATGACTCTGAGAGACCGCTGCGAGGCATGACAGATGATAAAACCGACTGTGATGCTGAGTCTTACAGGCACCACCCTCTGCCTGCAGCATCTTTCTGCAACTTAATAACTGTATGTCTTTGTTGTTGTTATTGTTGAACAGGTTGCAATAGCAGCAAATTTAATTTTGCGGCCAAACCAGCCGGCAGTAAAATGCATTTTAATTATAACCAACTGACATACATAAATATGGCTATAATGTGAATAATTTTTCAAGAACTGAAATAAATATTGAAATAGAAAACAACACAAAATATCTTGAAAACTGTTTTGGTTAGCAAAAATGATTTAAATTAAATGAAAATACCAAAACTACGAAAACAGGAAGTTGTAAATTGAAGAAGGCAAAAAATTGTTGAATATTTTATAAAAATATGAATATATTAAAAATTAAATTTGTTTTCGAAAATTAGAAAAATTTAAATATATATTGTAACAAAAACATTTAGTTTTCTTTTGAAAATAAAAAGGAAATAGGCACTTTTTATGAAATATATAATAAATCTAAACATATACAAAATCTAAATAATAAATCTTCTTTTTTGTCCTCGAACTCCTCCCTCAGAATGCTTTTTATAATTATCTACAATGATGACTTTTACATGATTGATAGAATACCAGCTTGACATTTAATTAATTATTTCATTTTCCGATGAAGTTTTATTTAATATTATGATTATTAACAATAGCCATATTTGTGTCTAGCTACCCTCTCTATTCATGTTGCGTAGGGTATACATTTGCTGACATGCAACTGCCGAGGTGTCACATCAGTCAGCTTTGTGGCTGACTAGCTCACACGCCCTCATTTCTGTGGATTATGCATTGGCAAAAGGCAAAAGGGAATTGCATAAGTGTAAATTTTGCTTCTCTCGTTTTGGCCAACTTTCCCAAAACTTACCAAACATCGATTTTTCAATGCAGTTGTCGTCGTCACGTCAACAGTTTTCGACTCGGCACTTCAAGAGTTCATTGCACCCAGCAAGTGGCTCCTCCTTTGCGTACGCCTTCGTCGTGGCCCTTTGGTCAATGGTCAAAAGCAAAAAAATAAAACAAACATTCGTTGGCTTTGACTGTTTACCTATTTGTTTTGTTTTCTTTTTTTTGGTTTTGCTTTCGCTTTGAACTTCTGCCATGTAATAATCATTTTTCATTATTGCGCATTTTTCCAGTTGAAAACGTTTGCTGCAATTTGCTAGATAATCAATATTTAATCACAGGTCTTTATGTTGCCTCATTATGACTAATATATGATTGCAAATGCAATTGTTTGCAGTATTATTATTTTTCTCGTTTCAAGTGAAAAGAGTCAAACAATAAAGTTCAAACTAAGGTTAAGAGGTTGTCATTTAGGAAAGTTATTTTTATACAAGTAAAAAAATCGGATAATCCAGTGTGAATAAGGAAAGTTTTATGGTGGACATCGCGGTAAAAATAAAGCGGTAGATCATAATACAGATAAATTAAAAAGTGGAGCGCATTCCAGCTAGTTTTTGTGCTATACAAATCAGTTAGCTGCTAACGATTGCCATACCTGTTAACTGTTCTCTAACAAGTGTTATCTCATCTACACGAAAATAGACTGACCTATTTATTATAGCCCACCGTCGCGCCGGCTAACGGCCCTGACATTTCAATCAATCAAACTTACACGAATAGCTCTATTGGTCTTTTGTACTCAATAATTTTATAGATTTTACTACCAAGTACATTATTTCTTTGCTTTCTACGAAACGAAAGCGTGTAACCCAAAAAAAGAAGAAAAAGCTAGTTAAAGTTCAATTGCTCTCTCATTCACTCCCGCTCTAAATGACAAGGCATAGAGGGAACCAACAACAATTATAAAGTAATTACGCACGCTGAGCGGGCCTTACAAATGGGTCTCTAGAAATGTCGCCTCTGCGTTTTACTGCGGGGGCTGTATTAGGTTGTCTAATTGTGCTGTGCGTCGTGTGGTCCGTGCGTCGAGAGGGAAGTGACCACAACAGACCTCGACCCATTTTGATTACTTTGGGCTGTCCACTTCCGCTCTTTGTTATCGCAGCCAATGCAGTGGCCACATTACCTGTTGCAGTTTCTTTTATTCAAATGAAAATTGAATTCGCTTTTTATAAACATAATAAACATTAGCATTTGGGATACTGAAACTGAAGTTAGATATAGAAATACATATATGTATATATGGATTGGTTAGTATTTAGTTTTGATTGCGGGCATCGAGGTGAAAAACCTCGCTTCAGTATAAAGAAATTGTTCTGGCTGAGAGTATCAGAGTTGGATTAAAGCAGCCATAGCTGGTTTTTGCATTGAAGTTACTTTGCTTTCTAAACAGTGTCTTCGCATATTGAGCAGGCAGCGTAGAAATATCTGAAATATATTATAAGAATATCTGGAAAGATTTGAAGAAATGCATTGGTTAATTTTTAGTCATACCTCAAACAAAAATTTCGATAAAAAAAAAAGCAATAAGGAAATTCACAGCTTGCTAAAAAGTGGCGCAAACTTAGTCTTAACACTTTGTTAGTACAATATTATATTTAATTATATAAGCTATAATCGAAGTTCATGAGGAAGACATTCGCGTATGCACACAGAGAAAGCCTTTTAGCCAAGCTCAGTTTTTACCTACCTTAGCTCTTTTTTTTATATTTCTTTTCAACTAACAGAGTTCGACTTGCAGCACGTTGCATTTTTGTGGCTTCTTCGGTTGCATGTCGAAACTCAATTAGCTGTCCTATTGACCTGTTTGTCGCTGTTTTTTGTTAGACAATTTTGAAGTAACTTTCGACATTTTGCATTTCTTTGCAGGCTTTAAACACCTTTGGCAGAATGGCGCCCATGCCACGCATTCAATTGGCCAACAACAATGCGGCCATAAAAGCCACAACCAACAATTTTCTGTATGCCGAAACAATTTCCGGCGACAGCAGCCCAACACCCAGCAGTCCGCCTTCGAGCACAGGTAAGTTGCATAGCAGACAAATGAAAGATTTCCGCTTGAACTCAGTTACTTACCTTCATTCGATTTCACAGCGGGCGTTGCTAAATCGCAGTGCTCCTCCCTGTCGGATGGCGAATCCTTTGAGGGTTATGGCGAGAACGAGTATAGTGTTCAGTTGCGAGCCACGAGCAGCAACGTCAACGGCAACAGCAGCAACAACAACAGCAATAACAGCGTCAACAACACTCACCATCATAGCATGAACAACGGCTCTATACATGAGCACAGTGGACACTCAAATGACGGCAATAACAATCTGGATGAGACGCCTGGCATTGAACTCGATCTGGCGCCTCATGTTGTCTCATCCTCACCCAAGGAGTAAGCTGCATGTAATTTATATACTTATCTCACAGATTTTTATTAACCTATTGTCTGCTGTTGTTGTTGTTGCAGTGACGAGGAGCTCAACATTATGCCCCGCGACAATTGGGCCAGACGCAGTCTGAGACGCACGCCTACAAGGTAACACCAGCTGCAGCAGCAGCAGTAGCAAGTGGGGAGGGATTGTAGACACATAACAAGTCGGCGTCTCGACTACCATATAAGGTCGAAGCGATCAACAATTAGTTATGGAAAGCTTGAATGCTTGTAGAAATTTATGTTGTCCCCGTCATTTATTTGCACACACTCACATAATCGTCGCGCCTTTTGACGTAATGCCCATAAACTGACCAGTTTGCCAAGTCCAAGTAGTTTAAGCCGCATCTGTTAAGCGATCATCAACCAGTGTCCGTCTGCATTTTTTATTTTTGTATATTTGTAGGTCTATTTAAATATTTAACCTTTTCTTTTGTATATGTACCTTTGAATGTATCTCTGCTTGTATGTATACGGGCTGGAAAACCAGTTTTACTATGTCTCGCGTTTTGGGCTGTGATTCATGCGTTGCGATCCAGTCGAAATCGCAGTCGAGGCTTGTAGTCAGTGCGCAAACAGAGAGAGCTCATTGTTTCCGCCTATGTTCAACACACCACAAGAGAGCGCAATATCAAACAAATAGTTTGAGTGAGAGAGAGAGAGAGAGATAGTGAGGTGTGTTATGGTGAACTCAAGATTCACCTGCATTAAGAGCATTGATGCTCTCTTAAATCATACAGTATGTCGGCTGTCTTCTAATGTTATAACTTGTAAATCACACGATTGTTTCATTAGTTACCTTTTTGCATAAGCTATAATGATACGTTATCAATCAATGTTATTTGGACTTAAAAATTATATTTAAATATTATTTATAAATTTATTAAAAATAGTTTAGTTGGACTTTTCAAAAATGTTAATTAGACTTAAATAAAGTAATATTCAGAGGATCTTTATATAATTTTAAAATAGGATTTTACAAATTTTGAACAAGATTTAAAAGCTTTAATGAATATGCGCAAAATAATATAATAATATTAAGAATGATATATACATTTGTTATGTGTATACCAGAGAAGTCAATTTATCTAAAAGTATCCAGTCTTAATGGGCATACGAAGTCAAAGGCATAGCTAGTTGAACTTAGTTCGTAATAATCAAGAAATTTTAATGGTATTATAGACTATGTTATTTGCCTAAGTGTTATTAAATTAGATATTTTTGAAGGGCTTTCATTCTGCTTTGAATTAAGACTCTGTAATAAATATCATATCATATATTCTTTGCAGCAATCCTGATAGTTTGCCCCAGCGTCGTTGGGGCTCCATGAGAAAGTAAGCAACATTTATTTATTTCTCATATATTTATGAGTTTGCTTTTTTACATTTGGGTTGCTTTTGGTTTTCACGTAAAGTTTCATACGACCCTAACGCATTTTCATATCATTTGTCGTCCATTTGGTTATGGTTTATAAATTATATATAGATTTAAGATGCATAGAAGCAACTGTATATAATAGCCTTTCATGTTTTTTGTTTTGTTATTTTAGAAAATTCATATTTTAATTTTATTCCGTACAGACATTAGTTTATTCATATCACTCTAAAGCTTAACTAAAAGCAAAACCATCTTAGCTTACTTATTCATTCCCTGAGTTTTCTCTGAGCTAATCGAATTTTCATATTTCAATTGTTTTGTATATTGAATAATTCAAGTATTCATAAATTTCATAAATGTTTTTCGGTTTGGCACACAAAATTGATGTTTTTGTTGTTTTCGCCTTGTTGGCTTTGCTATTTTCGTAACATTTAATAGTTTTGTTCAAGGCAGCACATAAACTCGACCGATTAATTGCTGAAGATTAGAGAAAGATACTAAAAGTCGTATAAAATGTGTGTAAGATTTGCTGTTAGTTCTGGTTTGGCTGGCATTTCCTTATAGTCGGCTATGTTTATCACTTGCCCATTTCCTGTTTCTCTTATAGTTTTTTTTGCCTTGTCAACGAAGTTGGGAACTGCTGCTCTCGCAGCTTCTGCTGGCGGCCCTTGCGTTAAGTCGTTCGTTGCAAGTGAAAAGGTTGAAGGTAGTTGCAGCCTCGAGCTCGTCTTTAGCAGCCGCTTCTTTGGTTCGACTTGACTTGGCTTACAAGTTTTGCGGACTTTTTGCATTATTGCTGAAGGGGTTGTCATGCTATTGGAATGCGCACAAGAGAGAAACGGAGCCAGAGAGTGAGAGAGGTTAAGAAAACGAGTTTTGGCTTGCGGCAATTCTGTCAACTTTTAGTTTTCTTCTGTTCAACAGAATTTAGGCCGCATTATATTTATTTTCTTACTTTTGTCAGCTCACAATTGACCCAAAAGCTGGCCAGGAACTGCAGTTCTCAGTTTCTGCTTGTTTTTTCTTGTTATTTCAATCATAATTAGCTGTGAGAAATCTTCATCTAATTAAGATGCACTCTGCAATCAGTTAAGGTTTAACCTTCATGCAAGTGCCTCGTAAATTGTGTGGCCAGCTCTTAACTTTCCAGCCATTGCATCTGATTATTCCCAGCTTTAATTTGTCATGCTAATGTCTTTGTTTTTGCATCGTCTGGGAAAAACTTAACATTGCATTCATCAAAGTCAAGTGCATAGATAAAAAGAAAAATTTATTTAAATGACGTTGAACCAGCATTTAGAAAAGGCCGTCTCATAGGGCGAAAGGGCCGTAGTTAGCAGATGAACTTCCATTTCCATCTTTTTTTATATTTTTGACTTTAATTTAAAACATTTAAAAATATTACTAAAAACTAGAATTTCAACTAAATAACAAATAAATTAATATTAAACCCTCTAACCCCGATTACTAAATTCCGAAGCTTAAATTCGCCACTTCGGCGACTTTTTGGTGCTACTTATTGATTTGCTCAAGGAATGTTTGTTACGTTTAATAGATACTGTTGTTGACTTGCTTGTTTTGGTGAATTGGGTGGCACAGCTCAAGGAAGTCATCGAGCCCGAATCTGCGCTTGCATCTTGGAGCGGTACACTTGGCTCCAGTAGCGGCTCCCAGGAATTTTCCCGTGCATTCTCCTTTACCGACAAATTATCTGATTGGTCACTTTTTAACTTGGCAGCAAGAAGTAGTTCACCCAAACTCTCCTCAAACTGTAGCTGACTAATTTCTTTTTCGATCAATAATTCCTCTTCGATTTTCTGCTGATATTGTGAATTATATTAGGGCGAATACCATTCAGATACTGTCCTTATACTTACTTTAATTTTTTTATGCCGTATCCACCATTTGATGATTAATAATAATGAAATAAAGCAAGATAATGCAATCCAAAAGGATTGATCCCTGTCCAAAATCATGTACTCAAATACTCCATAGATCTTTATGAATAACCAGCAAACCGTGGGCCACGCGCGACATCGCGGACTTAACTTCACAGCAGTCTGAAATGGGATAACCGTTTTATGGGCCCACATTGGTCCTTGGTCAAACACTACGAAAATTTGGATTTATTAGAATTATTTTCTTGATATAAAGAAAATATTTGAATAGTTATATTTGTGTGCTCTGACTCAGTTATGAAAAGTCTAAGCTGAAATTTATTTGATAGCCTATTAGGAAACCGGAGTAGTGTCATTCTGAATAATTCATGTGATTTCGTATTGGTATTCAGATTTAGCATAAAGGCTAGCTGAGCATTCTCATCCAAGCTCCTGCGTCCAGGTGCCACTTATTCCTCTTTGCCAAGCATCTTAGCAGCTGCATATTTGCTCTTCTATAGTTTCTACTTTTGCTGCCAGCTCTGTCCTTTCTTCTGTCTACGTTTCGCAGTTGAAGAAAGTCTGCTCTGAGTCTCAGTTTCCGCGGTAAATGCAGTTGTATTCGGCCGCTTAACTTATCTAATGTAGGTATTTTGGAAAGTAACCATGACCAGAGAACATTTATACCAGATAAAAGACGTTTCACCGTGGTTTCTATTCTCTAGAACTCTAGATCGGGGATAATTCTAGCTGTTAATCTACTCTACCTTTTGCTTGACCAGGAGACAATGATCTTGCGTCGCACATCTTTTACCGACTGCACCAATAATTATTGCTTACATACATTTTCAAGGATACCTTAGTCTTGTACCTGAGACTTAAACCCCGTTTCTATATGGCTTATGAGCATTGATTTTTTTGCCTTACAGATACCTTTATACTCTTCAATTTGAATACATTTTGATGCCCATCTCGTATAGAAATTTAGAAGCATAAATTATATAGCTCGTATCTCTTAAGCTCCACTAATTTGGCTTACGGTAGCTGCTTGATAAAGTGCTTGGTAGTCTGACTGCAATGCTAATTGGCCGCTTTTGGCCGTAGTAATTGGCGCACGTTTTACAGTTTTTGGCAGCTCGTTTTACCGCTCGTTGGCAACGTGTCAGCGCGACATTTTGGCAGCCAAAAAGTTAACTCGCCAATATAAAAACTAAAAAAGTTAGGCAGTCAAATAAATATGTAGATAAATTCCCTTAATGCTGCAATATTTGTATTGGCCAAGTTTTTATCGGCTCGCAGCAAACATGCTGCAAGCGAACATGTTGCAACTGCAGTGGCATCTTTTTAGTCTAGCACAAAGCACAGGCTGCCAGATTTTGTAAATAGGAAAACGTACCTAAACAAAAGTATTTAATAAGGCTAACAATTTTATAAAATAAATATAATATATTACATTTTACATTTCGGATTCACAATGAGCAGCAGCTACCTGTTAACCTTTTTGGCCTTTTCAACTAGCTGGCAGCATTGTTTTGCTGTCGCCCACGCACTATCAAATAGTTTTTGATGCTGCTCTCGTTCGCTCGCTCTTGTCCAGTGAACTCACTTGGTCAATGTTTTGTTTGTTATGTTTTGCTGGGCTTGTTGCTGTTTTCTCTCTCTCTCTCTCTGTCTCTCGCTGTGCTACGCTCTTTCGCATTTGGTTGCGTCGAACCTGTTTGTTAGCCGCCTTTTAGATTGAGTCTGCGTTGATTTTTAGTTCGAAACTAGCTGCAAACGTGTGCGGTTCGCATTTGGCTTAACTGACTCTCCCGCTGGCTGTGTATTGTTAAGCATCCGAAACGCATCCGTCGTCACACAATCGGTTCCGGCGTGGCAATATCAAAATCTACACAAAATTCCACCGGGGCATAGAAAAAAGTATGTGAAAGTCTTGCCGCAGACAGCGCGGGCAACGCAGCGTATGCGAAACATTTGTGATGAGTGCGAAGACGAGCTGTAAAAGATTATATATATTGTCAGAGATATATATATTGTTTTTTTTTTTGGTTTTTGGTCATAAATTTCGCTTTCGCGCTTAGTTGTTGCTCGTACAAAGTATTTACTATTTACTATGAGTTATTGTTTTTAAGCAGTTGCTGTGCTTGTTTCTACTGTAGTTTACACTTTGGTAATTTACGGCGTCACGCCTTAATGACTGCAACAAGCGTCAACAACTGACGAACGGCCTAAACCAGAGATATATACATATATATATATATATATATATTTTGTTTTCGTTGCACATGCTTATAGAGCGAGAGAGAGAAACAGACGAACGCACAGAGTCTCGTGCATTGCCACCTCTGACATGTCTGTCTACCTAACACACACACACACACATCTACACGTGACTGAGTGCACTGCACACGCCCTTTTTGTATCCAAAGTGAAAATCTTAGTAAATTCTTGTATTGGATGCAAGATTCAATTCCTTGAATCACCAAAATTAAAATGTGAATCGCAGTTGCATAAAATCTAGTGACTCTGTCCCTCTCTCTTTTTCTTTGTCTTGGTCTTATTGCACACCCTTTGGGGCGCCGCATCAATCAAAATCAAATCAGTTTATAGCCTTAATTACACTTAAGCAGCCATAAAAGTCGGTTAACAGTCGCTGCACAATTTCATTTGCTTGCATTTGTTGCATTTTCATTTTTCATTTTTGGTTTCGATTTCATTTTGCTTTCTGCGGCGCTATTTAACGACGTTATCAGAGCTAGGAGAAGCGCCAAAATGAAAAGCGCGTGTCTCTACAATATTAGCCATAAAATAACGTGAAATTGTTATTTGAATTGAATGAAAAGTGAAGTGTGGCCGGAGACGGCTTTTGGGCCATTGCGAAAGTGTGTCTAAAATTGAATTATGTTTTTTATATGCTGGCAAAGTAGAGCTTAGTCGCCATGGAAATGCTGCAGCGCCAAGTCCGCCAGAGCTTACCAATTTGGCCAAATCAATGCCAATAAGAAATGTGAACAAGTGTGAGCTTCTATGAAAAACCTGAACTAAAAAATAAATAAATAAGCAAAAACATATTGTCCTGATTAGTAAGTGCTCCTTGTGCCGTGTTGATATACCCAGTCAAGTGCAAACACATGTAACTCAAAGTCAGCTATAAGCTCTTGAGGTTAATTAATGCTTATCATGTCTATCTTATCTCAGCAAATACAACTTGAAGGCAATTGCAATGACGCGTATTGCGGCCAATGGCCAAAACAATAAGCAAATGAGTTAACTGAAAGATAAGCGTTAAACAAATAAATAAAGAGAAATAACAAAATCCAACTAGACTAGATTATATATAAATCTACAAAGGCAACTAACTTCATATGGATGATGAATATTTTGAATATTTTCCCTATGACCGCAGTCATTTGAGAAAAATGTGCGTATACTTAATAATATATGGTTACTATTCGTTGTTGTTGTTATTGTTGCACTTAACTGTCATGTAAAGCATTGTTAAATGTATTAATTCTTAAGAAAGAAACCACAATGAAGCACGCCCACAGACAAACAAACACCCACATAAACACTTTCGCCTTTTTTTGCTTTTGCTGAACAATCGTCTATATGTGAGTCAGCTATATATAAATATATATATATATATATATCTGTACATATATGTAACTGTTACCTGTATTTCTATAGAAATCGCAACATGTCTTGACCCCTCCTGCTCCAGCACACATTTTGTTGACTTCTCCTTTTGTCAGAAAGCAACTTTCAATTGATTTTTTCTAGCCATGGCATTAAGTGTGGCACGACAATAAAAGATCTTTGAATCGTGCATTAAAATATCTTTTACCTTTCATAGGAGGGCGTAACTCAGACAAAGAGATATCTTTATAAGTATATGAATTTATTTGTATTGCAAAATTGTAGCCAAATATTTCGCATTCAGCATAAATGAAAAGTTGACTGAATACTGTCTGAAGCGATTATGCTTTACATATAAATATTATTTAAAACTCTGACATAAAAACAAATAAATAAATGAATAATCAATTTATATTGAATAGATACACAGACATAAGGTCTTTTATGTACTGAATACAAATGTGAAACTAGAACAGTTCTATAATGTTTCAATATATTTATATATTGTAACCTAAAGTATCCGAAAATACTTCTTTTGCTCCAAAATCTCTTTTAAATTATATTAAAGTTTAAAATTCTTTATTTTTCATTGAGATATTTTAATATATTTATTTTTTACTGTATAAAGCATATATGCACTTTGCTATGAACTAATTCTTTTTTCTCAATTCTATTTTTTATTTTTTTTTAGTTTCATTTATTTTATTTAATTTTTAATTTTTTAAATATTTTTGGTATTTAAAAACATTTGAAAAACATTTTTTAATGTGTTTTATAAATTGTATATTTTTTTAGTTATTAAAAAAATAAATAATATATTTATTATTATTTGTTTCTTAATGCTTTTTATTTATATATTTTTTTAACTTTCTTTTTAATTTTTATATATTTTGTATTTTAGTAATTTTTTTATGGTCATAAATAGAACTATTTATTTCAATATACATTCATTTTCTATGATTAAACCATAGCACTTTTATGCCCAATTTAAGAAAATTTTAAGTGTAGATAAATCTAAAATTACATCAGCGTTTAGTTCTCATTGTGGCTTATTGTCAAAGTGTGCTTAAATCATTGTTGTGACCGTGTCAAGTGCGCATGTTAGCAGTCAACTGTTAATTAAAACCTTGTTCAAGTCACCTGACAAAGGGTCGCGTTTCACAAAATTAAAAATAAAACTCAAAACTCAATCCCGTTGCCCGCTGCCCGCTGCTTCCACAAATATCTACGTATGTGACTAGACCTGTTTGCCGCACTTGCTACATTACCTGTTGCCCAGTGCAAATAAGGTAAAAGTCAAAGCAGTCAAGACGAAAGTTTTAACGATTCAACTATATTATGAATACTTCTGCTTTGGCTATAAGTCACAAGTTTTTTATGCGGAAAAGAAGAAAAGGCAGAAGAGAAGGCAGGTGGAAGACAAACAAAATTAAATAATCAGCTGCGAAGTTGCGAGTTTCTTGAACTTCGCTGCTTAAAATTCAAAGCAGACAATGGAACCTTAACAGAGCTGGCTTTTTTTATATTTATAATATTATTTATTATTATAAAGATATTTCTGGCTGTTTTTACTGAAATAGAGAATAAGGCTTGGCGCAGCTTTGATTATTACCTTGACGCACTTGCCCATCCCCGAGTCAATCAATCAAACACCTGGCTTACTGTCTAATTAATTGCTGGCTTT